TGACATCATCACTCCATGGAGAATGCTGACTCACATTATAGAGACAATTAAATTTAATTAACCTCAATAACCCAAGAGGATAAAAAACACAGATCAAAAGAAATTAATTAGACATGGCAGAGTCATGTGACCTCCCCATTTCAGAGCGCCTCTTTGTGTAACGAGGGACATCATTATTATCACTGTTATTATTTATGGTAGCAATCACCAACTCGTAGGAATGAAGGAGACCAAATGTAAACTACAAATTACCATTTTGTACAGTAGAAAGCAGAAATGTATCAATACACAGGAAGTTGAACGATGATAATGAGCCCAAGTACAAGAGATCCGTCTGGATACTTCGTATTAAACATTCGATCAGTGTCACCACATTGTGCCCCCTTGCAAACAAAGTTTGACTTTTCTATTGACCAGTACACATGTATTAGGTACATCACAACAAAGAGAGGAATTCACAGCACACTCTGTAAGCCCCGGTTCACATATATGTGGCCGCATGGGCCACGTTTTGTGCAGGCACAAGAGCTCATTCATTTGAATGGACTCCCGTGCCCCGTGACACGCACCCCCTGCACTTCTTCTGAAAACGCAGCCCACTCAGGAACCTAGGGTCCCAGTACGGTTGCATTTTCCAGTGCGGGCGGCGTGCCATTAGAACTAATGGCACCCGCCTGCGGGTCCACATTCCTCTGTGTGGGTGGTGTGGCTGCACGGATTTTCGTGCCTGTCCTCAGTGGCACCACCCGCACAGATGTGAACCTAGCCTAAGAGTCTGTATAGTGCACTGACTACCTACCTTACATCAAGAAGCCATCCAAGCAGGGTTGCCAACAGTTTGTAAATTTATGGACAGTTTGTAAATTTAGGGCTATTTAGAATCTTTCCGTAAATGTCCGTTATGGACGGCCACTGCCCGTACAAAAATTTGCAGTGCACTGCACATGCACAGTACTGAAGCCAGCTGAATGACATCCAGCCATCTTTGGCATGCATGCATATTGTGGTGTCAAATTAGGTCCGCACATGTGCAGTGGGCATTTTCATGATGTCATGATGCATGACGCTCGACATGCATAAAACCATGTGCTGATTCCTATCAACTGCCATTTGCATTGCAGAACTCCTGAAGGAAAGACTGGTTCCTGGCTGCACCACGTGTTCGCCCGCTTTGCACACTGCCCTGCCCTGCTATCCGTTAGCTCACCACCATCTGCTTCTCTCAGTGACTGCCTGCCTGGACTTAGTCCTGCCTGCCAGTGCCAATGACATCCAGCCCCAGTCCAGCCCAGGCCCAGCACCACCACAGCCAGTGACCAGACCAGCTGTGCCCAACCAGTGCCCAGGCCCAGCCCACACAAGTCGGTATGTATTATATTAGCAATTTACAAATTTTGTGAGATCATTGTGTGGAAGTGCAAACTAGTGCTGTTAGGGCAAAACAGTGAATATCGAAGCAAAATTGCAAATAGCCAACAGTGACGAGACCACTCCCAATCACGCCTGCTTTAATCGGCCTATGCCACCACTGCCGCCAACATCTTTGCCTGCTTCCCTTCTTGGATCTAGTGAACTGCACCAAACACAAAGTCAGCAAAAACATAATTTGCAGTGGTGTGGTTTGTCAAGAAATTGTCTACTCTATTGAAACTCATTTTTTGGTGTTTTCCTTCTCTCCCTTGTGCCGTAGGTTGGTTCTCCTCTCCCTGGACTTCCAGTCATGCAACTTTAACAAGCTTCAGCCTGTTCCACTACTGCTGCCAATGCCTTGCCTACTGCTCTCAGCCCTCCTTCCATCAAGTGAACTGCACCAAACATAATGTCCGTTGTCGCCCTTCACTACAAGCACAAGTACTGCCTGCTGGCCTGTTGCAACTCCTGTCCTGAATTATTCCCTTTGGCTTCATAGAGCTACAGTTGTGACCAAAATTATTCAACCCCCACTGAAATTGAGTGTTTTTGGCCAGTTTGACATTGCTTTTGATCATTCAGTCATCTTGCTTACATTTACATTAAAGAGGCACTTGTAGGTCAGACAAATATAACATAACAGTTATAATGAAATAACCACAAATGTCTTTTCTGTGCTCACAGCATTATCAGTTTTATTCAACCCCCAAGTGACATTCAATCTTAGTACTTAGTACAGCATCCTTTTACAGTTATAACAGCTTTTAAACGTGAAGCATAGCTTGACACAAGTGTCTTGCAGCGATCTACGGGTATCTTCGCCCATTCTTCATGGGCAAAGGCCTCCAGTTCAGTCACATTCTTAGGCTTGTTGCGCACTGCAACTGCTTTCTTTAAGTCCCACCAGAGGTTCTCAATCGGATTTAAGTCTGGTGACTGCGATGGCCACTCCAAAATGTTCCAGCCTTTCCTCTGCAACCATGCTCTAGTGGACTTGGAGGTATGCTTGGGATCATTGTCCTGTTGAAAGGTCCAACGTCTCCCAAGCCTCAGGTGTGTGACGGACTGCATCACGTTTCCATCCAATATCTCCTGGTACTGAAGAGAATTCATGGTACCTTGCACACGCTGAAGCTTCCCTGTACCTGCAGAAGCAAAACAGCCCCAAAGCATGATTGACCCTCCACCATGCTTCACAGTAGGCAAGGTGTTCTTTTCATCATAGGCCTTGTTCTTCCTCCTCCAAACATAGCGTTGATCCATGGGCCCAAACAGTTCTAATTTTGTTTCATCAGTCCACAGAACACTATCCCACAACTTTTGTGGTTTGTCCACATGGCTTTTGGCATACTGCAGTCGACTCTTCTTATTCTTTGGAGACAGCAAGGGGGTACGCCTGGGAGTTCTGGCACGGAGGCCTTCATTACGCAGTGTGCGTCTTATTGTCTGGGCTGAAACTTCTGTACCCACATCTGACAAATCTTTTCTCAGTTCCTCAGCAGTCACACGGGGACTTCTCTCCACTCTACGCTTCAGGTAGCGCACAGCAGTCGAAGTCAGCATCTTCTTTCTGCCACGACCAGGTAGCGTTTCAACAGTGCCCTTTGCCTTGAATTTGCGAATGATGCTTCCTAAGGTGTCTCTTGGTATGTTTAACATCTTTGCAATCTTCTTATAGCCATTGCCCTTCCTGTGAAGAGAAATCACCTCTTCTCTTGTCTTCCTGGACCATTCTCTTGCCTTCACCATGTTTGTAACCACACCAGTAAATGTCTAGAAGGAGCTGAGTATCACAGTCATTTTAAAGCTGCCTAATTGGTGCTTATTATGCTTGATTGCTGCTCGGTGACATCCACAGGTGTTTTCAATACCTGATGGAAAGCACCTGTATGAACCTCTGTTCTTCAGAGTGGTAGTCTTTAAGGGGGTTGAATAATTGTGGCAATGAAGAAACCACATAAGAACCATTTACTACTGTATTACATAAACAATTGATGTCATTTTAGTTGCATTTGGGTAGTTACAACGTCCTTGTAGGATTTGATTCTGAATACAATTCCAAATGTACACTATAGTCCCTAAACCCCTTTACAGCATTGGGGGTTGAATAATTTTGGTCACAACTGTATATCATACAGCAAGAAAATAGACAACTTGTGGTGTGCTTCCTCAAGAAATGATCTGCTATAGTGCCATGTTAGGTTTTCTCCTCTTTCTGCCGTTAGGTTCTCCTGAACCTTGACTCACAATCAAGCCACTGCTATTGACCATCCACTGGCATTGCCACCATCCGGATCCCTTTTATTGGAAGGAACCCTGTTCTCTGGTAATTGTGTCATCATTTAGAAGCCAGTGTTTTTTTGCATGTCTACTTTGTTTATGTGTGGGGATTGGGGAGTCTGGGGACAGTCACTGAGGTCAAAGCAATCTGATTCATTTTTTTGTTTCTTCCCTAGAAAAGTCTACAGTGTATTGACAAACCAGCTGTATGGAGCTACAGACACCGCCACCACCACCACCAGATTAGACAGCCACCTCATCTAACAGCAAGTGGTTATCTTTCACACCAATACAGCACACACATATTTTATTTTCAGCCTACTGTATAAGGCAAGTGGGCAGCACAGACAGACAGACATGATTTTTCTTCTTGCTTTTTTTAGACACCTTCCGAAACTGAAAACCAATCTTCATATGTGATGCATCTCTAATTGCAGCTAATATGTTTTGATAACATTTTTCCCAAAGTTCCAAAAGATCAGTTTTCATTAACAATTATAGCCTTGCTGACTTTCATCAGATATATAGGCATCTGCAGCACAAAAGGCAGTAGTAGGTTAGGTTATACAGTTACTGAAATGTTACAGGTTTGTTTGGCCGTAGTTTTTACAGAGAATTGTGACAAGATTTTAAAGGGCTCTTGATTTCAGTTTAAAGTTTGACACATTTAACAGCTGTTGTTGGTAACACAACGGTTCAGGGGGTGTGTTTTAGGTTACAGTGTGTGCAGTGCAGTTGCGTTTTACAAATGGAACATATGGTAGGGGCACTGCAAGATTATATTAACCTGACCTTCATGTAAATGGAGAAATATGTTTTTTGCCTTTTGTTATACATTAATATATTGTTATTAGCACTGGCTACATGTTTGAAGTTTCAATATTGTTATTTGCACTTTGTGCACTGAAAATGACGTTTTCGGGTTTATTTACTAAAGCTGGAGAGTGCAAAATCAGGCTCACTTCTTCATAGAAACCAATCAGCTTCTAACCTCAGCTTGTTCAATTAAGCTTTGCCAATAAAACCTGGAAGCTGATTGGTTTCTATGCAGAAGTGAGCCTGATTTTGCATTCTCCAGCTTTAGTGATAAAAACCCCTTTATGTCCTTTTTTGAAAGAAAAAATTGGTGCTGTCAGTACATTTTTGGCAGCCTGTTAGTAAATTCCACTTCAGGAGGCTGGCAAGTTCATTCTGCCACCAATTTCATACAAACTAAAACTACATTCCACACAAATATAATAACCCACTATGCAGGCTAGTTTAAAAAAATAAAAAAAAAACTAAATTTATTTAAAAATGAGCTCCGGGACAGGGGCGGACTGACCATTTGGAAACTCGGGAACTACCCGAGGGCCCGGGGTCAGTAGGGGGGCCCCATGAGATGCCTCTGGTACCTTTTTCATAGGCTTTTTTGAGTTTGGACAAGGACACAGGGGCCCCATGATCCCCTATTGCCCGGGGGCCCCATGAGTTGTCAGTCTGCCCCTGCTCCGGGATAAGCATTTATTGTCTAAGTTGGTATTTTTTTCGAGTTATGTATACTTCTTGAATGTTTGTGTGCTTTGTGTATTTCTTCTTGACCTTTATAGTAATCCAATGTGAGACTTTACCTCTGTGCAGTAGCTTCCTGTAATAAAGACACTGCTGCTGTCCCTCCTTGTAGGTGACTGGTCTTGTCTCCATCCCTCCTGTAGTTTTCTGTAGCCGGCCTGTAGTGGGTGGGGCTTGCTGCGTCCCTCCCACAGCTCTGCTCTGTCTCTGCAAAGGCAGAGTACAGCACATGTACAGCACTGCGATTATGTCAGTGCTACTTTTACAATATAATATCTGGGCTTGAAAAAGCATTTAAGTCACACAAAGTACATTTATATACTTTATGGAATTTGGGGAATATATTGAAATGAAAGTTTTTTTGCTCAAATTTCAGTTATAAAAATAGTATAACATTACTGCTTTACACAAAGCTGTTATTTTATCATGTTTTAGGCACTGGTGTCTACGGGAAAAGAGGAAACATGATTATGTGTACCCATAATTACTCCTATTCCTGGCAGGTAATACAGAAGCCAGCACAGCTCTGGGCTTTAAACAGTGGTGTCACCCTTTGGCTGTTTTGCCTGGCAGGCATATGTAAATCAGTAGAGCAGCTGATCAGAACTGGAATATTTTCAGCAGTTGGTGCAGTATACATACATTCAGGGTCAGCGCATTTGTTTATATGTTCTATAAAATATATAAATGTTCTATAAAACTCAGTTTTGTCAAAATTTTGGAAATTGTTCTTGTGTTCATTGAGATATTAGTTAAAATCTTACTTTTCAAAAGTGGTGTACTCATTTATGCTGAGCACTGTATATATATATATATATATATATATATATATATATATATATATATATATATTGTGGCAGTGCGAGGCCATGTTACTGTGTGATTAGGCAGTTTATGCCAGGTTTTGTAAGGTAAGCACACTAATGGCACAGGTGTGTGCAGCCGTTCTCCGGTTTCTGCAGCTCTGGATCGGAACATTCATTCCTGTGTTTGGGTTTTGTTAGACACCTTCAATCTGGAGTACACATCTGTGAGTTGTCGTTATACACTCGGTGTGAAGCTCAGTTTATTGGACCATATTACAGTCTTCCATTGATTGATAGTCCACAATTTATGGGTGTTGTACCACTCTCTCCCCTTCTGAGCATTAATATTGGTCACTAGTGGTTTGGCAATCATAGCTCATCCATGAATGTTTTGTTTATGGAGTTCCCTCCGCACAGTTTTTGTGGACACGGGCTTTGGAAGACTGAGATTTAGTTCTGCAGTCACTTTTGTAGCAGTTGTTTTTCTTATTCCGGGTCACAATCCTGCGCAATGTGCATTTGTCTCTTTCGGTCCGTTGACCATGTTGACTGTGCTTTTGCTTATCAGATGATGTTTTCCCAGAAACTGTATATACCATCATAACCTTTGATACTGTACCTCGTAACACGGCAAATAAATTGTAAACTTCAGTCACAGAGGCTCCAGATAAGCGGCCACCAACAACTTCCCTCTTTGAAGCTCAATAAGCTCTGACATGACCAGGGAATGACTGACCATTTGGAAACTCGGGTAATGCCCGAGGGCCCAGGGTCAGTAGGGGGCCCCATGAGATTCCCCTGGTACCTTTTTCATAGGCTTTTTTGACTTTGGGCAAGGACACAGGGGCCCCATGATCCCTTATTGCCTGGGGGCCCCATGAGTTGTCAGTCTGCCCCTGGACATAACTCTGTATTACTAGCAGCACACACAGTGAATGACGAAAGTGAGGCTTCCCACCTGTTAGCTAGGTGTCTCATCACATAGCGGAAGCAAAAGAATGTTACATCACTTCCACTTTCAATGTGAAACATGTTGTCACTGTAATATATTTACTCCAACTTGCGTTGTGATACACTGCAAAAAGTGCAGTGGGACAAAACATTTTGAGCATTGAGGTGTAAAATAATGCAGCTATTTTGCAGCCAGGAGGTGTCGGGGCCAGTTAACCACCACTGATTTAGACAATTATTATTATTATTATTATTATTATGCAGGATTTATATAGCGCCAACAGTTTGCTCAGCACTTTACAATATAAAGGGAGACAATACAGCAACAATACAGTTCAATACAAGAGGGAAAGAGGGCCCTGCTCCTTGGAGCTTACAATCTAGGAATATGCCAGTAATGTTACAAGTAGTAGCTTTAATGACCCCAACAATTAGGAATTATACATCCCATAAATTGATGTGGCATAATCATGCTTTACCTATCATCTTCATTTTGTTGACAGCAATGTCAGCAGCATAAAACTGTATGAATAAATGAAGAGGGAATATTTCTCTGTGATATTTTATTGATGAAGTGCTGCAGGTCATACGATTAAACATGTTTGAAGTGTAGGCATGGACTCAGTCTGCAGGAGGCACAATCAGCACACTCAGTAAATGGCATTGTTAATGGATGGACAGGCATGCGTTCCAATTCGCCAGATGCTGGACCTGATAACAGTGCCTAACTGTAATCTGTACAAATGCTGCATTCTAGAAGCAATATATTCCCTATCAGTGGTTCTGGTTCCTAACACGGCTAGAAATGTACGCCATAGAGCATTTGCCTATGACACTGTGTACTTGCACCATCTTGTGACATCACAAATTCTAAGACTGCTAAGATGTCTGGGGATGTGGACTATGGTTAACCAGGAAAAGAAGAGACATCAGAACTGTAAAAATAAGGCAATTGCTTTACTGAGGGCCTACAGCAAACACAATTGCTTAAAGTGAACAGCTTGCTACAATAAAACAATTCATATAGTAAAGAGTGCTAGAGCTTGCTACAATAAAAACCATTCTAATATATATATATAGGAAATGAAAAAGAAATATATAAACAAGGGGGAAAAAAAAACCACACCACACCACTTGTACAGCTCCAATCAAAGCCCAACGGAGAAACTTTACAATTGTTTCCTATATGCGCAATTACTATGATTCTTGTGAGTTGCCAATTTTAGCTTTATTAAACTTGCGTTGTTTTACATACTACACTCAGAAAGGGCTGCTTCTGTTTTCTACATTGCTTCCTAGAGTCGCTTCTGCTCTGACAGCTGGCTGCTTTCCATAAGATAGTATCTGGACTATTATTGTCCTTATGGTCTGCTGACCCAAATGTGGTTAATATATGAACTATATATATATATTTTATATTTACCATTTTTTTTAGATAATCCTACTTATCTCTCTGCCCCCTGCAAGCACTATCACCTCTCTCCTTTTTAGTTTTCTATATTTAAGTATGTATGCATTCTGAACAAACAGTAAAAGAGCTTTAAAATGAGCCCTCACTGAACTCCGTAGGTGTAGGTACTATCAAGCATGAAGAACACATAGTGTGTCACAGTTGTGTCCTCTGCTAGCTCCCCAATAACAGTGTCCCGTGCCCTTCGCAAAGCAGTTTTCTCTGTCCTCCTTCACATCAATCACCCCCCCCCACTGTAGTGTCCTCTTCCTCCCTAAAGTCTCCTCTGCCCCTCTTCCCCCTGAAAGCATTGTCCGCTAAACCCCCCCCCCTCCCAAGCAGTGTCCTCTGCCCCTCCCTTTCCCCAAAGCAGTGTCTTCTGTTCCTTTCACATTACCACACCCACACTATAGTGTCCTCTTCCCCTCTGAGCTCCCCCCCCCCAAACCAGTGCCCTCACCCCCCCCAAAGCAGTGTCCTCTGTCCCTATCACATCACTCCCCCCCCCCACACCCACTGTAGTGTCCTCTGCCCCCCCCCCCAAAGCAGTATCCCATTCACACCCCTCACCACTACCACCCCCCCACCCACTCCAACACACACAGCACTGTGTAGGTAGCACTCTCCTACCCGACACCATATGTACAGCAGAACAGAGAGCAGGAGGCAGCACAGTACTGGATGGAGGGCTGGAGCTGCCAGTTAACTTTTCATAATAACAAACTGGTGATTGGTTGCTAGGACTGCCCGGTGTCTTAGCAACCATTCACCTACTGGTTAATTCAAAAAGGTAATTGAGGCAGCTCCCACTCCTGCCCTCCATCCAGTATTGTGCTGCCTCCCACTCTCCATTCGGCAGTGAAGATGAGAGTCGTGGAAGGCTGGGGGGAAGCAGGACCATGTTCACAATCTACCTGTCAACTGCCCGCGGTCGACCAGTAGATCATGACTGATGGCTTGCCACCCCCTGCAGTATGTGTTTTGCATTCTACAATAGTAGATTTTGAAGACATCCCATCATATTTTTCCATGCAGCTATTACCTGTGGTTGATCGGCCCTGGACGCAAGCATTCTGCATTCATGGCCTTTTTTCTGTGAAATAATATACCATAGTTTTGAGTTAAAAGCTATTATTTTTCCAATTTAAAATCTCCCTGGTCCCTGTCTTTAAAAAAACCGTGGCCTATTAAAGTGGTTATAAAGTCTAAAGGTTTTTACCTTAATTCACTTTCTTCATAAAAGTGGAACTTTAGTCAGAAAATTAAGTCCTGCTAAGTCACTTCAGGCTGCCCCCTTTTGCAGGTATAGCTATGAAAAACATTAACATAAATGCCTATTCTGTTTAGAATGCAGTAATACAATGTCTCACCCTGCTCTGCACATGCTCAGTTGCTCTCTATTTTTTTGGCACTGTGCTGAAAATGTAGAAGCCAATTTGCTGACAGCCCAAAGATTTACTGCACAGAGGCTCTTGGCTTCAGAAAAATGGCAGCCTCCAGCAAAATGAAATAGGAAAAATGCTGGAGGCAATTTACAGCACACACTCGCTCTTCTCTACCCCTCCTCATATGGCCGACTGAATGCAACAGGAGCTTCTGCTCCTGTCAATCAAATCCTATGATGAGAGAATGGGAGGGAGGGTGTCAAGCACCGCCTGCTGGTGTCTCTAGCAGCCCACAGCACGGGGTTCCTCAGGGCGTGGGGTCTAAGTCCCAATCTGCTTGTTCACCAGGGCCCCTGATGGTGGGGATGGACTTGGAGCAGACTGAGACCAGGTCGCGACCCCTGAGTCCGTCCGGCAATGGTAGAGAGCGCCGTCAGGGGTGTGTGCGGGAAATGGAGCCTGACGTCAACTGGCTGGCAAGCCTGGTAACAGGGACAGATCCGTGCGGGATGGATCATCAGGGTAATGTAAGGCGTAGTCAGGCAGGCCAGGTCAGCAACGTGCGGGCAGCGAGGTACCGGAGGAGCAGGCAGAGAATGGTCAGGGTCACAAGCCGGGTTCAGCAACTAACGGGCAGCGAGGTACAGAGGATCAGGCAGAAGGATGGTCAGGTAAGCCAGGGGACAAGCAGGAGACAATCAGCAGGGTCAGGAACAATGCAGAGGCCGGCAACAGAAGCTTCACAGGATCAGATAACAGGAACAGAACAATAAAGACCAAACCGGAATTGACATACCTCCTGTCCCATTTAAATAGCGCGCCCTGCATTGTCATTGGTGCCAGGAGCGTGTCCGCGATCGCAAGTGCGCATGCGCGCGGCCGTCGCGATCGCCCAGCTGCGATATGTCCTGCTGCTCGCTGGCTAGAGTGTATCGGTGTTCTGCGCATGCGCCACCCGGCGCATCACAGCAGAGTCACCAATCCCTGACAGAGGGATTCGACCAGCACCAGCACCCCAACGTTTCGTCTAGTTTGACTTTGTCAAGGGGAGCCCCGTGAGTAGATGAAACATTGGGGCACTGGTCAAGCAGCAACCTGATGTAATATCAGTGGTTGTGCCTTAAGTGATGTACTGTGAGGAATATAATTATTTGATCCCCTGCAGATTTTGTAAGTTTGCCCACTTACAAAGAAATGAAGGGTCTATAAATTTTATCATAGGTGTATTTTAAACGATAGTGATAGAATATCAACCAAAAATCCAGAAAAAACACGATACAAATAATTATAAATTGAGTTGCAGCTCATTGAATAAAATAAGTATTTGATCCCCTACCAACCAACAATAATTCTGGCTCCCACAGACTGGCTATGTTCTCATGTGGTACACAGATTAGTCCTGTCAATTTAAGAAGGTGCTCCTAACGACAACTCGTTATGTGTATCAAAGACACCTGTCCACACAATCTCTTTCTTTTATTCAAACCTCATCACCATGGGCAAGACCAAAGAGCTGTCAAAGGACGTCAGGATCTGTTGTGGCTGCACTGCAATTCCTACCTTTGAATAATGCCTGTTATGGGCTGGTTAACCGCCTCCTGCCCGCCATATAAGGAAATGACAGGCGGTTCTCTTATTCTGGGAGGACGTCATATGACATCCTCCCACTCTAACCGCGCATGTGCACCCCCGGGGGAGCACAGCGCGGCTATCGGTGGTGCGCTGTGTCCCTGAGCAGATGACTTCGGTTCTGTCATGTGATCAGCTGTGTCCAATCACAGCTGATCGCATGTAAATAAGGAAATGCCAGTTATTGGCATTTCTCTCCTCACGAGCTGTCACGCTGACAGCTCATGAGGAGAGGAGAGCTGGTAATCGGCATTCTTCAGAGGGGACATCTACACTGATCATCAGTGCCCTGATGATCAGTGTAGCCCCATCAGTGCCACCTGTAAGTGTCCATCAATGCCACCTGTCTTTGCCCATCAATGCCACCTGTCAGTGCACATCAATGCCACATATCAGGCCTACCAGTGCACATCAATGCAACATATCAGTGCCCATCTGAGCTGCCTTTCAGTGCCACCTATCAGTGCCCATCAGTGCCAGCTAACAGTTATAGTCAGTGCCAGTCAATGTCACCTATCAGTGCCAGTCAGTGCTGCCTATCATTGCCACCTATCAGTGCCATATATGAGTACTGCCTTTCAGTCTGTGAATGCCCACCAGTGATGCCTGTCAATGCCCATCAGTGCCACCTACCAGTGCCTATCAGTGCAGCCTGTCAGTGCCCATCACTGCAGCCTTATTTGCACACATCAGTAAAGGAGAAAAATTACTCATTTACAAAACTAAGAAAAAAATTTTTTTTTCAAAATGTTCAGTTGTTTTTGGCTTGTTTATCAAAAAATAAAAAACCCAGTGGTGATTAAATACCACCAAAAGAAAGCTCTATCTGTCGCAAAAAAAATGATACAAATTTCATATGGGTACAGTGTTGCATGCCAGCGCAATTGTCATTCAAAGTGCGACAGTGCTGAAAGCTGAAAATTGGCCTGGGCAGGAAGGGGTGAAAGTGCCCGGTAGGCAAGTGGTTAAAGAAATCAACTTTTTTTCTCCTAATTAAAATAATGAGTCAGATGGGTGTGCTGCTACTGCTATATTAAAACCAAGCAATAATATAAAAATAAAAAAAAATTACACATGCAAATTATGTGATGCCAGCATATGGTGTCGCTGACGAAATTGTACAGTTCCCTAACACCACATACCGCCTAGGCATCAAATGTAGTATGGAAGCAAGTATTTGAAAGAATTGGGGTTTTTTTTACACATTGCATAAACAGGATAAACCCATTTCCTGTTCAACTGTATTTTTTCAAATTAATTTTTGTATTGGTACCGTACATGTGCCCAGCTCCCCATGCCCTGTTGACAATCCACAGCCTAGAGCCTTGAAATTATCCAGAATTGGTTTTTCGGAAATTTTCAAAATTCATCCCTCCAGTGACTTCAGTGGTGTTTGGATTAAAGTTTGCTATTTCCAGAATTTACAATGAGTTCGATGAATGGCCCACAAATCAAACTCAGGCACAATCCTTCATCACTAGTCTTGAAAAATGAAGGGAAAGAGGGAACATGAATGAAACCTTTAAACACATAAAGGGTGTGAATAAGCTTCAGACAAAAAGGTTAAATACAGAACAAAAACAAATTAAAAAAAAGGGGGGGGGGGGCAGACTCAATGATCCACTTAATCTTTTTCTGCCATCTCTCTTCTATGGTTCTATTGGAGGAGATGTGGTTCAACCTTAAACTGCATAGGGGGTTCTTTGCTGTTAGAGTGGTAAGGATGTGGAACTCCCATCCACAATCAGTGGTGTCAGTGAGAAGTTTCGATAATTTAGAAAAACTCTTAGATGGGCATCTTAGCAAATGCAGTATAGAGGGATATAGGAAATGGTATTGCCATAAACACACTCCCACATACACCTACACACACCTAAACAGGTTAACATAGATAGACTGGTGTCTTTATGCAACCTTACTAACTATAAAAACAGCTCAGCAAGATGAATAAAAGTCTTCAGTCACATATATTAAAATTTGAGACCATACAACCTATCAAGATATTATGTGGTGGATCATAATAGCACCGCCATGAGGGGTGGGGGTGTAGATGTTCTTTTATCATTACTTGATTACGGGAAGACAGCAATAACAGCTTAATGGACCCAGAAAAAGCATGCAACCAGTGAAGTCTGCTGAGAATCAGCTTTGCTTATTTTTGGCTTCAATGTATTTGACCCCTGCACTCCACAGCCTTTGCAGCTCCATTTACCAATTAAGGAGTAAATGTTCTGGAAATCTCACACGAGACTTTATCTGCTATCACCAGAGACTGATGGAGCTTATTCTACTGAACATTCTGGGACATAGAGAAGAGCATACTTTTCTATTTGAATGTTAAATTCTACTTTTAGTTGAGGTTTATGTCATACAATCCATATAGTGCCAGAACTAAACCGCTGTCCAGGTGGGAGATGTTTGGGTTATATTTGGTATTTATATAACTGATTTTCCACAAGCCCATAAATACAAAGAAGGGATCATTATTAAATCTGGACTTTACATTTATTTCTGCTTTTCTCTACAAACACAAAAAACGCTTTAGAAACCTCATTTAGCTGAGGAGCTGACAATTTTCTGCTGACAAAAGGAAAGCTGCCTTAAGCCTACTTGAAACACAACACAAGAATTACATCGAGGACCTGCAAGAGAAATGTCACTCTAGGCCTTTTCTTAGACAATAAACCCAAAAAGTCAACAACAAATCTACATCAAAATTAAAAAAAAAAGTGATCATGTCCTTACTCTCCATCCAGCACAGAAGAGTGAACAGGTCCTCACTCCATCCAGAACAGGAAGGGTGAACAGGTCCTCACTTTATCCATTATAGGAAAAGTGGATAGGTCCTTATACTCCATCCAACACAGGAAGAGTGAACAGGTCCTCACACACTATCCAGTACAGGAAGGGTGAATGGGTCCTCACACTCCATCCAGCATAAGAAGGATAAATGGGGCCTCACACTTCATCCAGCATAAGAAGGATAAACAGGTCCTCACACTCCATCCAATACGGGAAGGGTGAACAGGTACTCCCTCTCCATCCGATAAAGGAAGGATGAACAGGTCTTCACACTCCATTCAGCACAAGAAGGATGAACAGGTTCTTGCACTCTATCCATTATAGGGAAAGTGGACAGGTGGGTCCTAACATTTCATCCAGCATAGGAGTCCTCAGACTCTATCCAGCACAGGTAGGCTGAAGAGGTCCTCACTCTTTATCCAGCACAGGAAGAGTTAACAGGTCATCACTCCATCCAGTACTAGAAGGGTGAACAGACCTTCTTACTCCATACAGCACAGGAAGAGTGAAAAATGTTATCCAGCAAAGAAAGGCGATCAAGGTTTTTGCATTCCATCTTGAACAGGAAAGGTGATCATGTCCTTATACTCCATCCAGCACAGGAACAGTGAACAGGTCCTCACACTGTGTCCAGTACAGGAAGGGTGAACAGGTCCTCAGACTCCATCCAGCACAGTAGAATGAAGAGGTCCACACACTTTATTTAGCACAGGAAGAGTGAATAGGTCATCACTGTATCCAGTACAGATAGGATGAGCAGGTCCTTATTCCATCAAGCACAGGAAGGGTGAATGGGTCTTAATACTCTATCTAGCACAGGAAGGGTGAGCAGGTCCCCACATTCAGTACAGGAAGGGTGAACATGTCTTCACACTCCATCTAGTACAGCAGAGGTGAACAGGTAAATACGCTCCATCCATTACAGGAAAAGTGGACAGGTGCTAACATTTCATCCAACACAGAAAGAATGAAAAAGTCTATACAGCAATGAAAACCATACAAGGATCTCACGTTCCATCCTCAGCAGAAAAGGTAAACATGTCCTTATACTCCATCCAGCACAGGAAGAGTGAATAGGTCCTCACACTCTATCCGGTACAGGAAGGGTGAACAGGTCCTCAGACTCCATCCAGCACAGGTAGGATGGAAATGTCCTCACACTTTATCCCGCACATGAAGAGTGAACAGTTCTTCACTCCATCCAGCACAGTAAGCATGAACATGTCTTCTTACCCCAACCAGCACAAGAGAGGGTGAACAGGTCCTCACTCCACTTAGTATTGGAAGGGTGAACAGGTCCTCGCTCCATCCAATACAGGAAGGGTAAACAGGTCCTCACTCCATTCAGCAGAGGTAGGGTGAAGAGGTCCTCATACTACATCCATTATAGGAACAGTGGACAGGTCCTAATGCTTCATCCGGGAGAACTGAAAAAGTCTATCCAAAAATGAATGGGGAAAAAGGTTCTCACATTCCATCCAGAGCAGGAATGTTTAACAGATCCTTATACTCCATCCAGCACAGGAAGATTGAACAGGTGCTCACACGTCATCGTGCACAGGTAGAGTGATCAGGTCCTTACACTCTATCCAATACAGAAAAGGTGAACAGGTCTTTATACTCCATCCAGTACAGGAAAGGTGAACAAGTTCCCACCAGTGTTGCCAACCTACAAAATTGAAATTCACTGACACGCCACCCAAATTGTACTGGCACAGTTTTTTACTGACATTGCCAAGTCCTCACACCCCATCCAGCTCAGGAAGGGTGAACAAATTCCATACTCCATCCAGCTTAGGAAGGATAAACAGGTCCTCACACTCCATCCAGTACCAGAAGGGTTAGCAGGTCATCACTCCATCCAGTACAGGAAGGGTGAACAGGTCATCACTCCATCCAGAACAGGAAGGTTGAACAGGTCATCACTCCATTCAGTACAAGAAAGGTGAGCAGGTCCTTCATGCACAGAAATGGTGAACAGGTCTTTTTACTCCATCCAGTACAGGCAGTACAGGAAGGGTGAACAAGTCCCACACTCCATCCAGTTTAGGAAGGATAAACAGGTCCTCACACTCCATCCAGTACCAGAAGGGTGAGCAGGTCATCACTCCATCCAGTACAGGAAGGGTGAACAGGTCATCACTCCATCCAGAACAGGAAAGTTGAACAGGTCATCACTCTATCAAGCACAGAAAGGGTGAACAGGTCTTTTTACTCCATCCAGTACAGGAAGGGTGAACAAGTCCCCACCAGTGTTGCTAACCTACCAGATTGAAATTCACTGCCACGACATGGAAATTTTATTGGCAAAGCCAAATGTTAAAAAGCTACAGTTTTAAGTGCAAATTTTAGTATTTAAGCTACAAACAAATACGATCTGCAATTAGCAATGTGATTTAAGGTAGATATTAAGCTAACAAACATATTTCTTATTATATTTTTGATATAGTAAGTAACTCAGGGATGGGACTCAAGAGGGCAAGAAATTAGAATGGGCAGGCGTTCACACATGAAATTTACTCTCACAATGACACTGACAGCAGTGAGCAGCAACACAGATGATGACGACACCTCACCAATATGACATGTCCCCTTCTGAGTCACAGTGACTGTCTCTCTCCATGCCAGGTGGTCCCTTGTGTCCACTCCAGTCCAAACAGTACTTACTGTCCCGCTCCCAGCTTGCCATGCTCCCATCCCGCAGACCCACACACGAGGCTCCGGCTGCCCCACTTGGCTCCCTTGCACATCACGTGACATGCTTAGGCACCAAATCTGCCAGACCTTCCCCCCACTGGCACCACCCTGAACACACTGTAGCAGGTACTTGGATGGTCTTGGCTGGTTTCGGACTGAAACTGCGCATGTCCAAGCCGAGGGACACAGCC